GAAACACACAGCGTCTCCCTGACATGGCTGCATCAACACTAACTGCGGTTACTGAAACCACGCCTTCTTTCTTTGCATGCACATTTGGGCGCATTATGCAAATATTCCCACATAGTGAGGTAGATAAGTGGGGGCGTGTTAGAACGAGCCGTTTTAGGGGTGTGTGGCAGAGTCTTAACTTTGATAAAGAATATCTCTTTGGTTTTGAGACTTTAGTCTTTGCAACTTCAGGGATCTTATCTATTCACGAACAGCTTGTAACACTCCAAAGAGAAAGGAAAACTTGAAATCACATCATATGACCCCTTTAAGCCCACTCTTAAGTTTTTCTTCTATGGACATGATTTTCCGCTCATTTAAATTGGAACACCATAAAGTAATTTAAAATGTGGTTTAATTAAAGTAACCTTTACTCTGTAATAACATTCCCTGGCCTTTTACCAGGATTGTCTGTAGACTTTACAGATGACAGATGTGTTACTTTGCAGAACCCTATTTACTGGGAGACTTTTCTTTGTTCTTTTACTTGAGTCTAACAAACTAAGCTAACGGTTAATTAAATGGCTTATACTTTTGCATCTGGCTTGGGGCATGAATATAGGAAAGCTGGTGGAAATGTGGGAAAAGTGAAGTGCAACTTGACTCATAAGGCCAAATCTCTGGTGTACAATGTGCAAGGAAGTCAGCAAATAACAGGAAGGGCCCCATAGACATCTTGCTTTCATTTTGAAGTGTTCTTCCACAAGATATTACTCCACTGCTATGTATGTTATATATCAAACAGGCAGTGCATTAATGGAGACTCCTAATATTTATTCAAGACATAAATGGAGTTCTGAATATTTTGGACCATTTATGGAATCACAATCGGAAGTTTATTTTAAACTGTGACATGTATATTGATATATTTCAAGTTGTAAATGTGTTGTGCCTTTTGTTTGTGAAACATGACTTATTTGATTGTGCCTGTTAAAATCTTTTAATTATTCACTGTTCTAAATAAAGTAAAAAAAAAGTGTTTGAGTTTTATATGGGGATTATGGTTTGATGAGACAACAATACACTTTATTTCTGTAGTCATGAAGGGTTGGGACTGGACAGAAAAGCATGAGAAAGAACAATCTATTATTGATCTCTAATGTGATTGTATTTGCAGTACAGTGGCAAAAGTAGTCAGTTCTGTCAAAAGGGTTTTTACAAAAACGCTTAAACATACTAATATATTCCCACATTTTAATATTCAGTCAAATATTTTCCAGCATTGACAGCACTGTTCAATGTTATATATTTCCTATAATAAATAAATGGATATAGTGCATTTAATGCTTTAAGCCAGTGGTCACCAACCTTTTTAGGCCCAAGATCCCTGACCTCGGCCTTTATGAAAGACAAGATCTACCTATTGAAGAATTGCTAGAAAAAGACATCCTAGATTGTATTTCAAATTTGAGGCCTTTTACTTAGTATTTTAATTAGTGATGCGCCGATCATAGCTGATTCAGAATTCAGATTGTCTTTTCTTTCTTTCTTTCTTTTTTAACTAGCAAATTGGATTCTGATACTGATACTGATTTTTAAGCAAATTTATTTATTGGCTATTTGCTTTATAACAAACAAACTGGCTTTAAACAAAAATATCTAGCCATTTGAAATTAGAGGCAACCACTGCATTTTAATCACGATCTGCACGGGCAGTTGTTTGTGATTTGATTTAGATTAATTTTAGGATTTAAAACAAAAACAGAATGGACTGACTTTAGGTGTTATTTATTTATTTGCTACATAAAACATCTGCACGAAACAAAAACAGCAGGTCTGAATGAGACGCACTCTCTGACAGCAGGTGGCGCCTATGAACAGGGTTGCCAGGTTTTCGCAATAAAACTAGTCCAATCGTGTTTCGAGTAGGGTTCCCCTGTAAAAATCGCATTGCGGGGGTAAAATACACGTTTTTCGGCGGAGATCTTCAAGTAAAATTCACATTCCAGGGACTAAATATCACGTTATTGGGGTCGCTTCAACCCGCGGACATGAACAACAACCCGCGGCAACAGTGTTAAGTAGCCCAATTCCGCGGGAAAACCGCGGACTTGGCAACACTGCTTATGAATCGACCGCAATATAGCGTTTCCTTGGTTACCGCTGTAAACAAAGCAGAGTTGCGCTTTATACGGAGAAGAAAATGCCATTGCCATCGAAACTTTTATCAAGACAGTACCCGTCAGTGATACATTAATATAACCCCAGAAATGTAATGTATTTTTGTACTTATTTTACTGTTTTTTTTTGGGA